TGCCACCTTTCCTTCATGGACCTCTGCTACACCTCCACCGTGATCCCCAGGCTAATCCGGGACCTAGCTGCAGCGAGAAAAAACATCTCCTATAACAACTGCATGACTCAGCTCTTCACTGGCCACTTACTAGCAGCTGTAGAAATATTCATCTTAGTGTCCATGGCTTTTGACCGCTACGTGGCCATAGTTAAGCCCCTGCACTACATGGTGGTCATGAACCGGCACAGGTGTAACCTGTTGATCGTCACGGCCTGGATTGTGGGTTTTTTGCACGCTATCGCTCTCCTGCTTGTGATTCTGCATTTGCCTTTCTGTGGCCCTAATCAGATAGATCACTACGTATGTGACGTGAAGCCTCTGTTGAAATTGGTGTGCAAAGATATTCGTGTTGTTAATATCTTAATGATTGCAAATTCAGGGATCGTGGTGGTTGTGGTTTTCGTGTTGCTAGTAGTTTCTTACATACTCATATTATATCATCTGAGGACACACTCCTCCGCAGGGCAGCGCAAAGCTCTCTCAACCTGTAGTTCTCATATAATGGTTGTGGTTTTATTCTTTGTGCCCTGTATCTATATCTATATTCTACCTCCAGGGAGTGAGAACAAGGATAAGGAAATCTCAGTGTTTTACACTGTGATTGCCCCCATGCTTAATCCTCTCATCTATACCCTGAGAAATGTGGAGATGAAAATCGCCATTCGAAAGACATGGTCTAAGACAACACATTCAGAATTTAAATAAATAGGATGCTCTTCATTTTCATTTTTTCAATCACGTGTATATAGGGCACTTATCATTTGGATTATTATAGAGAGCATGTAAACCTGAGATCTAAATGACTGAGGACAATCTGTGAAAATAGATGCAAGTGACTGTCATTCAGAGTCCAATCTGTACTTCAAAGGGGTCAACTACTTCCAGATTTAAATGATATATTACTATATTCACTAATAACATTTAGTTTATGAACTGTGTTCTTTCAGTTTGACCAAGCCAAAGATGATTGCTAAAGCTTTATTTTCATTTGTATTTTCTAGCTGTTGACTTGTACAAATTAACATATGTAAATAAATAGCTTCTGAATTAAATTCAAAGATATTATCTTCCATTTATTTGACTGTATGTATTGTTCTCCCATATTTAGAACCCTAATTAACTCATTAACATGAAAACATTGAGGATAAAATAAGTAATTTCAGAAAGGTTAAAACTTCAGCATACATCCTCATTGCCATTCATGGAGGGAATTAAATCTAGCAGAATCTGAGTTCATTATAATGTCTTATGTATTTGTTTTTGCAATAAGGAGGTACTACTAGCTCAAATAGTGGCTAACCCCTTGTGCTTTAAATCACATTGGCCAATCTCAGTTTATGTCTTTGTTCCCATTTGTCTAAAAAAAATTTCTTTTTGTCAAAGTGCTTGCTTTTCTTATCAAAATGATCACATTATTTTCAAGTTTCCTTGATTGACTGATTTTGCCAAGAAAGGAGAGATTAAAAAAAATTCCATGATATTTTGTCAAGCTAAAGTATTTCAGAGGATTGAATCATTCTTTTGATAACCCTCAGGAGATAAAGAAAAGAATTAAACCCCGAGCCATCTATGTGACTGTTTTCATGGTGTTGACTTCATTTCTCAAATTATAAGTACACACATTAGCTCCTGTAAAATGCCTGGGGGATATTATTCCTCTGGTTCTTCCTGTATTTTTTAATTGAAGATTTTCTCAACAATTCGTTCCTTAAAAGAACTTTTGGATGGACGATTCATGGGAGAGTAAGAGGCTTCCCAGACCTGTTTGCTGTGCATTAGTACAGCCATAGAACAAAAGGAAATGAACCAACTCAAAGGATCACTTTGACATTTCAAGAGATGTAAATCTTAGAACTTAAAGGAATGAGCATCATGATTTGTGTACATACAGTGAAATAATTGGGAGTTTGAATAGTGACTATCTTATATAAAATTTTGATCTTCGTAAATTCAAACTTTTAAATTTAAAGTATTCTGATATAATTTTATTGGTGGTTATCTTCATGAGAAGGCATTCAAGAAAATCTGAATAATAATTTATGAGAGATTTAGGATTTTTATTGCATTAGTGAGAGGTATTTAAGTGTGATGAAAAAGAGTACAAGCCTTCAAATCATACAGAAAATGTTTAGATACAGATTTCTCCTTAGTGTTTGTGTGACCTTGAGTTCTAGATTCTTTGTCAGCAAAGCAGAGACAATAATACAATCATATATGCTTCATTAGTTATAGTGAAGATGAGATGTTTGGCACCTGAAACATTATAAGAGACTAGGCTGTATTATTACTTAGTTTGTGTTTTCTAAATGTTTTATTTTACTATTTCATATAATTATGCTCATACTTTTAATTTCCCAAATGTCTTTTATTAAAGATGTGGTTAACAGAACAGTCATCAAGTTGCCTGTGACGGATTTTTGTTCTATCCATATTACCTCATGTCCTCCATCTTACTTCCCAGTAATCTTGTTTAACTGTAATTTAGTTTTTCAAATAAAACTGTAGTTGACATGTCTTTAGTAACACAGCCTCATAAAGTTTTTTCCTAAAGAATTTAATTTTTTATTTATTTATTTTTTTAAATTTGATTAACTTTATTTATTTATTTTTTAAATAATAAATTTTATTTTTATACTCCCCATACAATTGCAGAAGAGATCTTTTGAAGAAACTAATTTAAAGGTATGTAAATTGTGGACTCAGGATTCTTTATTCCAAAAACCTGATAAACTTAAGCATATATATGGCTGATTTTTTGTGAGTGGTGTGTGTGTGTGTGTGTGTGTGTGTGTGTGTGTGTGAGAGAGAGAGAGAGAGAGAGAGAGAGAGAGAGAGAGAGAAGAATGCAAGCAGTCATGTATTTTATTTTTAAATTTTTACCTGTGCGTGGATTAAACAAAGACCAATAGTCTTTGATTTGAGAATGTGACGGGCTATTTCTGCCCTAGGTAGGGTTCTTTGAGAATTCTATGGGCACTGCTTTGATGGATGCTTTTCCATTTGGTCCTTTATAAATTGAGAAGATTTAATCTAATGTTAAGAAATGCTCCCAAATAATTCCATTTTAAGCAGCCTTGACTTAGTCTCTGCCTTTCAAATGCCCTTTTTTCTTTGTCCCACCTCCTACTTCCTTACTTTCATTTTCTTTGTTCTGTAATGTATTATTTTGTTATTGCTATTGTTCTGTTATTGTCATTTGCATATTATCAAGTTTTGTCTCATTTCTCTACCTCTATTTCATAGCTATTGTCTAGTATTCTTTCTTTTCATTGTGTTCTTTTGCCACAGTTTCTCCATCCTTCAGTTCTTTATTTGGATTGATTGTATATTTGACTGGATTTCACTGTAAACATTATTTTTCTTCTTCTACTTCTCACTGGCATTGTTTCATTGAGTTCTTGCATATATGTTTTTATATTTGAATAAGCACATTATTCTTGGATTACACCTTATTGTTAGAGAACCATGTAGTTATTTCTCCATTGTCTTTCTGTTGTGTAGTATGTGAAGAAAGCTGTCAGCATGATTATTTCCCATTGTAGGTAATTTACACTTTCTGATTGGATGTCAGTGTTTTCCTTTATCCTTGATGTTATATTTGGGACTATGATTTTATATTCAATAAAATCCAGGGTGTGTTTTCAAAAAAAATGTTGAGGCTTGTAACATTCTAAACCAAGAGTTTTATGTTTGCATTTTGATTGTCAAGTTTTTCATACAACTTTAATGAAAAGTTATTCTTAGATTCCCTTATATCTTTTAACTGATTCATCCACATCAAAAGAAAGGCTAGATTTGGATATCCTAGCATATACATAACGATGTTCTTTTCTGAGTTCTATTTTGAAACCACAACATTCATGATTTTTTCCCTTTCATGAGTAATACATATCTAATATAAATTCTTTAATCCATTACTTTGTTCAGAACATAAAATATACCAATTAACACTGAAAATTCTGAAATCTATTTTCTTTTGTAACAGTTGTTCTCCGATTATTTTGGGGGGGTAGTTTTGTCAGTTGTAAAAGTTAGAATCATACGTTTTTACACTGCATATACTTCTCACGGATTTTATTTATTTTGCCTTGATGTAGGAATGTCAATCCATATTGTTATTCTCACTTAGCAGTTAAAGGAGACACAGGTAGAATAAGTTGCTAAGTGCTAACGTCAATAGTTCTAACAGGATCAATGAGGCTGCACGGTCCTCTTCATGACCATTAGATCAGGGGTCATCCTGTACACATATTCCCTCAATGGCATAATTGAAAAAAAAAAAATTACTACAGCCAACAGTCTGCAGGAAACCATGATTTTGCTGTGAAAGAAACTTAATTTTGTTTTCAGTTCAAGAATAAATGTTTAGTTGCATTAGAAATATGTAATGTTCATGTGTGATTGTGGCTTTACACATAAGCCATATGTAGCATATGAAAAGAACAGTCTTGTTTCAAGTCAAATAGGCAGAGAAGAGGTAAGTTCCCAATCTTTTATAAACAGAAAATCTTGGCATTTGTTTTGTTTGGAGTGTAGACAATGTGGCAGCCATCAAGAGCACTGGGATGGTGTTTGATACAAATCCATATCTTAGGTTGTTACTTAACATCATAATTATTTTGCTACAATTTGTAGAACCTTCCAAATTTTCTGTCTCATAATGTAAAATGAACAACACAACAGTAATTAGTGGGCTATTGTGAGTTAAATACATACAAAATATTTGGAAGATTTACAAACACAAAATATGTCTCATTCTATAGCATCTGATAAAAAAATGATGGCCTTAATGGAAAAAAGATATAAAAGATTAAGACTCTAATAAATACCATGTGGCCCATATTATTTCAATGTATGAAATATTCCAAAACTCAAAATTTCGTTTGAAGATGCCTATGTTCTGTATCATTTCAGATGAACTGACTTTCTGTACTATGCTCTGGAGTCACCTCAACCTCATGGAAAATCAGAACAATGTCACAGAATTTGTTTTCATAGGGCTGTGGGAAAATAAACAAATAGAGCTCATTTTTCTGTTTTTATTCCTGCTCTGTTACCTGGCTGTCTTGATGGGGAACTTCATCATCCTATTCACTATCACTTGCAGCCATCTAATCCAACAGCCCATGTATTACTTTCTCTGCCACCTTTCCTTCATGGACCTCTGCTACACCTCCACCGTGATCCCCAGGCTAATCCGGGACCTAGCTGCAGCAAGAAAAAACATCTCCTATAACAACTGCATGGCCCAGCTCTTCACTTCCCACTTGTTGGCAGGTGTGGAAATATTCATCTTAGTGTCCATGGCTTTTGACCGCTACGTGGCCATAGTCAAGCCCCTGCACTACATGGTGATCATGAACCGGCACAGGTGTAACCTGTTGATTGTCATGGCCTGGATTGTGGGTTTCTGGCATGCTATCGCTCTCCTGCTTGTGATTCTGCATTTGCCTTTCTGTGGCCCTAATCAGATAGATCACTACATATGTGACGTGAAGCCTCTGTTGAAATTGGTATGTAAAGATATTCGTGTTGTTAATATCTTAATGATTGCAAATTCAGGGATCGTGGTGGTTGTGGTTTTCGTGGTGCTAGTAGTTTCTTACATACTCATACTATATCATCTGAGGACACACTCCTCCGCAGGGCGGCGAAAAGCTCTCTCAACCTGTAGTTCTCATATAATGGTTGTGGTTTTATTCTTTGTGCCCTGTATCTATATCTATATTCTACCTCCAGGGAGTGAGAACAAGGATAAGGAAATCTCAGTGTTTTACACTGTGATTGCCCCCATGCTTAATCCTCTCATCTATACCCTGAGAAATGTGGAGATGAAAATCACCATTCAAAAGATATGGTCTAAGACAACACATGCAGAATTTAAGTAAATCGGATGTTATGCATTATGTTTTCATTCTTGTGTATATAGGGCATTTGTCATTTGGGATGTTACAGAGAGCATGTAAACCTAAGATCTAAATGACTGAGGACAATCTATGTTCCAAGAAGCAAGTAGCTGTCATTCAGATTCCAGTCTGTACTTCTAAGGGTTCAACTACTTCAGTTAGTGCTTGAATTTGAGGAATGTGGACATGCCCTTCTAAACCACTTTTCTGATCTTATCACTATCACTGTCCTCTCCAAAAAAATTATATGGAATCCTATTTCCTTTCGATGAAATCCTATCTTTCCATTTATAATCAAATATTTCCTTAAATCAGTTCAAGATAAATTTGCTAATCTCAGAAATTTATTTAGTAGAAAACATTGTGTTGTGATGAAAGACCCATGTTAGGAGGACATGGGTGATTATTGACTCTATGTCTTCATCTCTCTGAATATCTAAGAGATAGTACATAATAAAGTGGCCAATACAATATGGTGATTAACACATTTGAAGTTTTAGCATAGCATATTGCAACCAGAAATTTGTGGTAGGTCATTTTCTTCTCCCTTCCAATTTTTCCTTTGTTTTCTTCTGTTTGGACACTCTCTTGCAGCTACACTGGATCAATCTACAGTCTTCAAAATTCTTTAAAATCTCTCTTCTCTATGACTTTATTTGTGCCTGTGTGTGTATGATAATTAGTGTGTGTGTGTGTGTGTGTGTATTTGGAGTATTTGTATGTTAAAGGAAATATCCCTTCAGAAGGAATGCTACACAAACAAAAACAAAAAGGCCTTTAAATCATTTTTTCCCCCTGTGGTCTATAAGTTGTTATTGGCAAAATGATTGGCAATATAGTTATTACATAGTAAATACATAAATATATATATATGTTTAACAAAAATTTGCTATTTGCTTGCCAGGTATTCCTTCTAGGATCCCCTTTCTAGATAAGTAGGTTTGTCTAATAATCATCAAATATATCTGACAGGTAAATGCATTGAAGAATTTGACAAGTTCTTTTGCTCAGCATGTGGATGTAAACACAGAATATTTAATAAATATTTGTGCTTGTAAATGTGTTATGAAATTCCTTTCTCTCCATTTATATCAGGATTCATGCTAATTTAAAACCCACTCTTATTAATTTCATTAGTGGATATCTTTATGCTGCTAATGAATGCTCATATTACACAGGCATGTTATTTAAACCTTCAGATATAACAATACTGGAAGCAAGTTTGAAGCTGAAGATGAGGTCTAAAGGAAAGTTTAGAATCAAAACTGGCTCTGAGATAGACAGTTCTATTTGACTTCCTGTTTCAGTCTCATTCTCCCTATAACTCACCCTTATTCTTAACACCATCTCTGTCTAAAGGCATCTATTGAGAGTGATGGTTTGGACCATTTTAGTCTATTCTAATATTCTCTTCAACACTTGGGAGATCTAAGCCACATATTATATATATTTCAAGGAAATGTTATTTTCCACTTATTCATTCAAATAAAGAAGCTATAATTGGATATAATTAAATTCAGCTCTGATCAAACTTAGATTTTTTTAGATCTTATTTTGACTCATTGCCACTAGGCATTTTAGCAGATAAGACATTCCAGAATGCTTGATCTGTCCAATTTGTTGAGACACTTGCCCCATATTCTCTATCCAAGTTGGGACATCTTGTAAGAAGACTGACCTTAGAGTTTGGGGTTTCTAACCCTGAAATGACTGTATAATCTCAAGTTTAATGATCACTTATATTTATTAAAAATAAATTACTTGAGCTTTGTTTGATAATCTGCTCTTTGAAATTGGTTTGCAAACAGGTCTGAATGTTCTAAGTGAGGATCAAATGTTCATGCAATGTATTATATCTCTAAGACCAGGTATGATTCCATGGCTGATGATGCTGTACTTGTGAACTGATCGTACTTTGTACAAAATGTAACACAAAATTAATATGATGGATAAACTTGAGAAATGATCAAAGTATGCCATAGAAGATAAATAAGAGATTAAAAATGTGTAAGAATGTGTTTGGATACATACAAATAGTCAAGAATATATAAACATAGTATATAAAGCACAGAGAAAATAGCATCTTAAGAAACATTATGACCTGAACAAGAATAAATAACCCAATAAATGGAATAGAGATATTATTTAAAAGCAGACTGAACAAAAAAAAAATTCAAGATAATTAAATCCTGAAGAGATGATTCAACCAAGATAGTGATAGTGGAGGTTCCTAGCTTTGCTGAGTATGTCTTAAAGGGGTGTCCTCCTTGTGTGTTTGTTGGGGAGACAATTAGAGATAGGACCACTATCACCTTCAATGGGCCGGTAACTGCTAATTTAAGGAAAGTTTGGTCAACACTGGGCAAAACATTGAAGCGAAAAGAACAAAACACAAATCTTTGACACTAACAGGATGGACTTCATTTACTCAGGGTTTTAAAATTTCAAAGTTTGAAAACAAACATAAACTTAGAAAACCCATTTTGTTACTTCTGTTATTACCTTATAATAAAGCTAATAATACATCAAAGTACTCACTTGTGAGTATTAAAGATATAGTAAAATTAAACAACCCATAATTTCTCTCAATGAGTTGTTAGTATTATTTTGCTATGAAGTGACCCAAACACAATAATAAACAGCATAAGCTCTTCTGTACTTTGAGAGTTTCTTTCCTCTTATTTTCCCATACATTTTTGCATTTCCACCCTGTCTAGTTTATGAGGAGATTTTTATTCTTTCATATTTTCTTTGTCTTTCATTTCCCTACCATCTTTCCCAGTAATGTTAGTCCCTAGTGATAAGTAACCTCTTATCAATTAAGTTATCACAGTTGTTGTGATATTACAGAATACATTAGTTCCCTCTTATCTTCAGAAAGCTGGAAGAACTTAGAACAGTCAAACGTTTTTTGAACGGTTCCTTCTGACTAGATATCTTGGACTTCTGGGAAATAGCCATTGAGGCACACTAAGGCAAAAGTGGAGAGCAGATACCCAAGAGGACCTAGCGCATTACCTTGGACAGTAACTTAGCAACATTGGCCTGGATATTTATATATATAAATTCCTTAGGGAATGTAATTATTTACTGCTTTCAGAGATCTGTTTACTGCCTCTTTTGAACCAAATTTTCTTCAGTCACATGTTAAAATATGTGTTTTCTAAAACCTAAATACTTGTGTTAACTTTTGTAGGAATTTAAAAACATTTATTTATTAGTATGAGTTAGCATAATATGTTGACCTTTTAAATTCTTACCTTACTTTCTGGGGACTTAAGGATATACTTATCTTTGAGTTTCTAATAGTTTAGTGAATATTTGAAGTTCCCTCCCTTGTCAACTTTTAGGTTAAGACATGTTTGAAATTTCCAAAATATTTTCAGATAATTAATCTGGGTGTGTTTGAATTGTTGCTTTGCAATGCCCTGCATTTTGCTTCACTTTTGTAGTGTACTGACCCTGATGGTAAGTAAATTTGCCATGACACCATGATTGGTTCCACCAACCATAAGCTAATTATATGCACTTTATTTTAGTCTACATAGTTTAACATTTAAGGTTATTACTTTTCTTGTAGTATTTGATAGTTTAACTAATATAAAAATGTTTCAAATGCTTTGGATTTTATTGAGCATTTGTTCAACAAATAAAGATTTGATAGATTCTATTGAAAAGTGTGTTTCTGATGTCCCTTTGAAATAAATAATAGTAACTAGTGAATACAGAGTCAGAATCTATAATTCTGAAAGCTAAAATCTAACTTAGTAGTATTTCAACCACTGACCACAATTTATTATTTCCTATAACTTAAGACTATAAAATAAAATGTTAATATTGACCTGCTCCCTCCTGCCTACTACTGGATTCAAATCCAAAGACTTGTCCTAGTACAGTGAAAAAAAATTTTAAAAGAAGCAAAACAAAACAAAACAAAAAAAAAACGTGTGAAGTCTAGAAACACAGAAAGCAACAAACAAAAAATGTATTTTGTCCATGCAGGGGTGTGATTAGCAGCTTTATTCATAATTGCTAAACCTTGGAGGCAAGGAAATTGGTCTAAAGTAGGTGAACTGATGAATTAACTATGGTACATCCTGACAATGAAATATTATTCAGTGCTAAAAAGAAGTGGATAACAAGCCATGAAAACACAGGTGAGAATTTAAATGCATATTACAAAGTGAAAAAATTTCATCTGAAAGCAACTACTGTATGATTTATCTATATTACCTTCTGGACAAAAATCAATGGAGGGAGCAAAAAGATGAGTGTCTGCCAAGGATGCAGGGGGATGGGAGAGAGCAAAGTTTCCTGAACTACTCTTGATTGTAGACTTTGTGGCACTCCAGAGAAAGAGTCCCTAAGGCAAACTAAGGCAGAGGTTGAAAATAAATACTCAGGAACACCAAGCACATTTCCTTGGACAGTGATTTATCAACACTGGTCTGCATCTGTGTGGAAACCCCTTTGAGAATATAATTATTTAGGGCTTTCAGAGACTTCTTTATCTTTGTGTTGTCATTTAAGTGTATGTTCTGTTTTTCTGCAAATTATCTTCAGACATAGACTAAATTGGAAGTTTACTGGGAAATAAATATTTGTGTTAACTTTTGCAGTAATTAAAAACATACATTTTGCTTATTTTTTTAGTGTGAGCTAGTATAAAGGTGTTAAACTGGCATTCAGAATCCCTAGCTTGCTTTACTTTGGCTTAAAGATGCATTTTCCCTTGAATCTCTGATTTTTAGTGAATATTTGAAGTCTGTTTGTCTTGGAAATCCCTAGAAGGAAAAGACATGCTGAGATTTTCAAAATATTTTCAGAGAATTAACCTGCATGTGTTTGCAACTGTTTTTCTATTTTTCTGCATTTTCATTGCATTTGGAACTGGAGACAAATCTGCAGAGTGAGTTTCTGAGGATGGAATGCTTCCTGACGCAACCTAAAATTAATCTGACAATCACTTGGATCTGATGTTTGGTGAATTAGCTGTGACACCTTGGTCTGGGAAGGGTCCCATCAAGCATAGATAAACTGTATGTTTTTTATATTTATTCTACATAATTCCATTTTAAAGACTAGCGGTTTTCTTGTAGTATATTAAATTATTTAAAAATTACTTTTATATTTGATTTAATTAATATAAAATGATTAAACTATTTTCATTTTAATTGTTAATTGTTTATAAACAAAATTCCAGTTAAGATCAATAGAGTTAAAATGAAACATTTTTAAGTTGGTAGTAAATTTCTGTCCAAATTCATTCTTATATGCATTTCTCCATACTACTTTTATGAAATAGACTAGTATTAGAGCAGAGATAGAGCATGATAAAAAGTCTTTGCTATATTTAAAAATTGCTGTCATTCTAAAGTGCAAGACTTCCATCTGAGTCAACTAAGGTAAGTTTATAGCAGAGTATATTCTCCTATAGTAACAGAAAATAGGAATATGTGGCAGTAGCATTTAAATATAGGAGTTTCTATTCTTATATGAACAACATAACCTACATGATAAGTATAGTTTTATTCAACACTGTCAAATAAACAAATTAACTATATTTTAATAGTGTTAAAAAATCAAGCTAATGATTAGTTTAAAGAAATGCTTTCAGATGATCAATCCATCATCAAATAACAGATTTTTAACGAATAGATCAGTGAATGTAAAATTTGTCTAACATTTTTATTGAGCCCATTATAAATGTTATTTTCCCCTTTGTTTTCCTTTGGACTTGATTACATATGCATGCATGATCATTTCTGTACTTGCTAAATAAATCACTCAAAGTTAAGGTTGTGTATGGAAAATGTCTATGAATAGTGAACCTTAAATATTACTGGGGTGTTTTATATTATATCACATACTCCACATTAAATTTCTGAATTATGTAATGCTATCTTAATTGTATAAATACAGAAAATGAAGTTTAAAGAGAGTAGAAAGACTGTTGAAGGTTAACACATTAGCAATTTCTATTTTATGAATTGAGGATTCTGAATAATAAATTAAATTAGATTTGATATTATATAATATAGGGTCAATTAATTCCTCAATAGTGGTAAAAAAGAATCCTGGAAGTGATTTTTTTTTAGCCTACACTCACTTTACACTGAATAAATACTGTCTTTGAATTTAACTAGATACAAAATATATAAACCTGTGAATTTTTTTCTTTGTCTTTATTGCAACAAACACCACTCAGTGCTAAATAACAATAAAATTTATTTTCAAGTTACCTTCTGTAACTTCTTTAATTCATCTTAGTTGTTTATGATTGCATGAAAACATGAAGCTTCTAGCAAAAGCCATGGCAGAAACAATTCACACAAATTTGGGCAATTTAACTGTCTTATATTTTCCTTATCAGTTGTCATCACAAGTTTTAATGACAGTGTATGTGTGTATACATAGATGTACATGTAATATAAATACATATTCATTATTAACACTTAAAATGCAAATATGAGAAATGGATGAATTTGCTGAATTTTTTCAAAATGACTATCCCTAATTGATGTAACATACTTTCTGTTACTGTACCGTTTTCACACATTTATTATTTTTAATATAACAATAATTGTATTGTCTTAATATGACACTTTGACCACATTTGATCACATAGCAAAGGATACTGTGCCCTAAACAAATTCAAATTCAGCAATTCAAGCTGTGGAGTTTAAACAGATGGTATTAATTTAGGTTTCATTGCCAGCCAATATAGGCATTTGGTCTAATAATTTTGTAGGGAGAAAAGCTGAGCATATAAATATAAGGCACAAATATTGAAAATTATAAAAGAAGCATCTCTTATGTCTGTCTTCTTTATTATTAAATAATATAGCTAATATAAATACATAATGTAATGATAAAATATTTGCAAAATAAAATTTAAATATTTCAAATAACTATTGGCAATATTAAGTAAAAACATAACTCATTATTACTATCATATAATAATTCCACAATAGATTTATAAAATATGTATGTAATGACACGGAAAAATCTTTTTTATTTTCCTTTATTATTTTATTAACTTTTTAATTTTTTTACATAACTGCTGCTCATTTTGTACAATATTTAATTTATCCATTCAGGTGTAGTCCCCATAAATCTCCCACCTCCTTCTCACCTGTGAACCATCATCTTAGTCCCTTGTGAGCTTCCTACCCTTGTTTTGACTCCCTAATTCTCCTCTCCTTTTCTGTGTGCCTCAGATCTATATCTGTCTGCAAGTTTTCTTAAAAAGGAAAAAAAAAATCTTAATTCACTTAGTTCAGTTAATATTAAGATTCTATTCATAACTGTTTTATAAATTTTATATTTTTGCATTCATAGCTGATTTTTCACCAAATATATGTTTTATTTCTTTCAGATATACTTCGTGTATAAAATAAACATAACTCAAATACATGGAAAACCGGAGAAACATCTCAGAATTCATTCTTCTAGGACTTTCTTATGAACAAAACATACAAATATTTTGCTTTGTGCTCTTCTTACTCTGCTATATTGCTCTATTGGCAGGAAATCTTCTGATCCTTGTCTCCATTCGATGCAGTCCTCTTTTTGGCCAGCCAATGTACTATTTCCTCAGTTACTTATCATCCATGGACATCTGCTACACCTCCACTGTTACACCCAAATTAATAGGTGACCTTTTGGTGAAAAGAAAGACCATTTCCTATGGTAGCTGCATGTTGCAGGTCTTTGCCATGCACTTGTTTGGAATGATTGAAGTCTTAATCCTTGCAGTCATGGCTTTTGATCGCTATGTTGCCATCTGCAAACCTCTCCATTACATGATTATCATGAACAGGACAAGGTGCAATCTCCTTGTTTTAGGTGCTTGTGTTGGGGGTGCTCTCCATTCCTTTCCTCAATTTTCTATGGTTATCAGGTTGCCCTTCTGTGGCCCTAATGAAATTGATCACTATTTTTGTGATATTTTTCCTTTGTTAAAAGTTGCATGCACTAATACCTATGTCACTGGTGTCCTTGTGATTGCCCTTTCAGGCATAATTGCCTTAGTTATCTTTGTTGTCTTATTTTTTTCTTATGGCATTATATTATACACATTAAGAAATCAGTCTGCTGAGGGAAGACGCAAAGCCCTCTCCACCTGTTGGTCTCATATCACTGTGGTCATCTTGTTCTTCGCTCCTGTGATCTTCATCTACCTTAGACCTCCTACTACTTTCCCCGAGGACAAAATTTTTGCACTATTTTACACCATTGTTGCACCTATGTTCAATCCTTTAATTTATACCCTGAGAAATGCAGAGATGAAAAACACCATGAGGAAACTGGTGTCAAACGTTGATTTCAAAAGAAATAAACAATTAATTTGAAGAAAGGTAATTACTAAAAGGAATAGATGAAAGTGAAAAAATCAGGTGACTTTCATAGATTTTTATATTTCATATTCTAACTTAAAAGGAATAAATGTGGGAAAGAAGACTACACATTTTGCCTGACAAAATTGATTGGAGAAAAAAATTGGTTTGTGGCATGTGAGATATATATATATATATATATATATATATATATATGTAATTATTGGATCAATGAAAATAAGATAATGCCATATTAATCATTAAAATGTAATTTGCTTGATAATTAAACTTTTTACTTAAGTTCTAAACTACGTAATGTCATACATTCTGTATAGCTGGAAAGTTGAAATCAAATACCAAAGAAATATCATTCAGAAATCAGTTATTTAAAAAATAAATTTAGAGTGAATTGTTTTAAAAAGGTTCAATGTTTCTAACTTCTTTGAAATAAACAATAGCTAGAGATGAGAGTGAGATCTAAAACTCAACCTGAAAACAAAGTAATTTTGGCTTAGAACCTGCTGGTCAGAATTTAGTAGCATTTCCCATGAAACTTAAGGAACTATATAACAAAATGAAGTTGTTGACCCTCTCATATTTTCCTAAAATAAATAAATAAATTAGTAGTCATTGGTTCCAAAAGACACTTCCAACTACAAAGAGAAAATTTTCAAAGAAAGAAAAAAGAAACATTATGTGGTCTAAAATCAAAGACAGAAACAAAAAAAAAAAAATGTATTTGACTGAGTAGGAATGTGTATAGCAGCTTTATTCAGAATTGCCAAACCTAGGTGACAGCCAAGATGTACTTCCATAAGTGAATTAACAGTGGTACATCCTGGGAATGGAATATTATTCAGGGCTGAAAAGCAATGAAGTAACAAGCCAACACAGGCAGGACTTAAGTACATATTACAAGATGAAGGAAGTCCATGTGAAAGCAACTACTGCATGGTTTCACTTATATGAGCCTCTGGAAAAGACAAGATAAGGAGACAGTGAAATGATGAGTGAGTGCCTACCCATGGTGCAGGGTGGGGGGGTTGTGAAGGGTGGTGGTGGGAGCAGTCACGGGGGAGAGGGCAGATGGGAAAAATAGGAAGCTTCTTTTTTTGAGGTAGTGAAACTATTCTTTATATTACTAAAGTATTGGATATTGTCATTATACAAATCAAAACCTATAGATTGGACAGCACCAAGTGTGAACTCAAATGTAAACACGAGTTTTTGTAAATAATGTGTCAATGTAGATTCATTATTTCAGGAACAAAGGCATCTCTCTGGAGTGGAAGTTGTCCCTGCCTGGGGAAAATGGATACAAGTTTTTCTTAGTGCATTCCATTCAATTTTTCTGTATACCTAAAACTAACAAAGTTTATTAGTTTAATAAACCAGTTGAATTACTTATTAAACCAATTAACTTTATAAAGTTATTAGTTAAAAATACATATTGTGGTACAATAATAAAGCAAATCACTTTTTTTAAAAAAAATAATTATTTATTTATTTATACAAGAACCGGGGTACAGACCAGATGTGCGGGAGGGTCAGAGGATTCACCAGAGACAGAGCAGAGAACAGAACAGGCAGACTGATGAAATACACTGCTTAGGGACCAGCAGGCACGACAGGAGAGGTCTGTCGCACCATGTGGGACCCGCGCCGGCCCAGCCAGTATCGAACCAGTGCTGAAGAGGCTGCCGACAGCTTCACAGAGTGGCGCTCCACCACCTGCGCCACCAGGGGAGGCCCAAACCAAATTACCTTGTAGGTATAAAGGGAAGAAATTCTTGAGAAATATATTTTTTGGAGAAAAGCAGAAGAAACTGATGATGGGACTTCCGTGCATGCTTAAAAATATTTAAACTCAAGTCTTCTAAGTTAAATAACAAATACCACAACAAAAAAGACATTAGATAAAATGATTTTATGTAAAGGAAGATAATTATATAACAGCTCTTTATTTGTAAAGATTTATCATTCATATCTAAAATGTACCTCTATGACATTCATAGTCACGCATTGATAACAAAATGAGTGATGTCACAAATCACCCAAATTTAGTATTGATCTCCATATAACCATTAGGGATAAAAGGAAACCCAATGGACCCTTATTGGGTTTAGTTTTTTGTGTAAGAATTTACTTTTTGAGAACAATTTTAGCTTCACCTGAAAGAAAAAGGAAGGAAACGAGATTTCAAGTACAGCTGCTTTCACACACGCACACCCTGCAGTCATAGTCCATCTCCAACCCCAAAGAGTGGCCCAGGAGTTACCATGATGAACCTACATTGGCACATCATTATCACCTACTTCATAGTTACTTTATGGTTCACTCCTTATTTTGTGATTGCGTATTGTAAGGATTTGTGGCATCGTGCAGTGTTTCGCTACCCTAAAAATCTTCTGTGTACTTCTATAATGTCTTTTTCTTGGATTTTCATTGAGATGCTAAAATTCTAATGATGTCTTTACTTGATATATATAAGATATATATCACACAACTAATCTCAGCCCTGTGTCCTGGTTCCCATCGCTACACCTCTGCTTCTGTCCACGTCCAGTCATTTCTGAGCATGGTGACTAGATATTGGGCATTTGCTTCCCCTGAATGAGCTACTCCTGTCCTCCAGGCAGGGACAGAACCCCTGTAGGGTTCAGTATCCTGGGAAAGGGGACTGAGCTGGACGCAGCAGCATCCACCGAGTTCATCATCTTCATTGACACCACTAAATTTCAGCCCTCCCTCCTTGACCTCCAAATCATGACAATCACTTGCACAGCTCTGCCTTTGCTAGTCAAGCACCATTGACCTGTTTCTCAAAGTATAGCTTGGTCTTCTCTGACTTTTTGATTCAATTTTATGTCTTGCTTCTGAGGCTTTTACAAGCTCAGTGTTCCACAAGTTTCTGACACACAGTAGGGTTCACTAAATCATTATTGAATAAATAGAGCAATAGGCTCAGCCATATTGCATAGATCAGCTGTGTGAGTACCCTTGTGAACCCCCAACTTTAGTTGTCTTCCTTTGCTAAGGATAGTCCTGTTCCAGTTCATGCCTGTTTACTCTGCTGATTTCTTTCCCCCTTTGGGGGAGCAGTTTATGTCTTTCAGCTAGGGATTCTACTTTTAGTTTAATTTTAGAACAATATATGATTTCTCCACTCAGATGTGGTCACCATAGCTCTCCCACCACCAAAGCGCACTTAGTTCATCACAATATTCCCTTGTGCTATTTCCCCCACTCAAATTCTCCCCTCCACACCTATTCCCTTCCCTGTCCCCTCCTGGTTCAGCTTACAAAATTTGTCTTTGTCTGAGTCTTTATTGCCCTTCAGTTCTTTGTTATGTGTCCTACAATGTTGCTTTCCTACCCCTCTGTGTTCCACAGTCTTGCAGTTATAACATTCTGCTGTCATTTACTGCTGTCTCTGGGAAATTTCACCATATCCTAAGATCAGTGAAGTGAGGACCTGGATATGTTTGTTCAGCTTTGAAGTGCAACTATCAATGTGTCTGAAAACTTTATAGGAATAAAAGTTTCTTTTTTATTAATGATGATGGACAGTGGAATGATAATTATTTCTCCAGAAACTGTATTGTATGTCGAGTGTGATGCCCATTCTAAAAAGATTTCTCACTAAAATGTTAGAAATAAAAATTATTAACAGACAAATATAATACAGAGAATCTACAACCATAAGACGAGACATTTTGCCAAGAGCACCGAATATTGAGTTTGATATTTGCTAATTCACTGATATCCTCTGTTTCAATTTCTTTTCACTCTTCAATTTAAAGAGGAAACAAATCATAGTTTCCCTAAAAAAATCTCATTACAAATTTCCTCAGAGTGAATCAGATAAAGGAAGAAAAAAAAATCTCCTTCCTTCATTGCTATTTATTGGTTCTAAGTTTTTTTTTTTCTAGTTGTGATTTTTATTTTTTTTAATTTAAATTTAATTTAAATTTTATTTTTATATTCCCCATACAATTACAACCCCCCTATTTTGACCCCAAGCCCTCCTTTCCCCACCCCCCACTCCCCATAGAGTGTCTCTTGTTCATAGTTATTTGTTGTTTTTGATATCTATTTCATTTTCTTTTATTCTTTTATTAATTCACTCATAATGTCATAAACTGGACATTATGCTGCCTTATAAACGAGTGTTAGCTAGCATGTAAGTATGCTACATATGGAGTAACTACATAATAAATTGAAATTCCTGACTGATATTTAAATGTTTTTATTAATTTGGGTTATCAAGTTTTCTAATAGGTTAGCAGTTGAAAATAGTGACATGCGTACAAAAATTGTGGAAATGTTGTCTAACCTTGTTAGTTACCATGAAAAGCTTTATGACCCATTGCTTTTAAATCCTTAATACAGTGTGATACCAAAATGTTACAAGAACATATTAACATTAATTAAGATACATAAAAATGAACAAAGTATTAGAGAAAAAATTTAGTTAGAATTAGCTAAAATTTAGCTTAGAATTTAGTTATAATGTACTAACATAGACATATACAAGTAGACACATATTATGGATGTACATACATAGATATACATATATCTGTGTAGATATAATGTGTGTAATTATACATATATACAATATATGTTATATATATATTAACAAACAAAACCCTGTTCAATAAATAGTACCATCATCATTTTCTTACCTTTCAATCATCACTGTGTGACTATGTAAGCTGTCATGAGCATGGATGAGAAATCAGTTATGCTCTGGTTACCCGTCTTCAATATACTTGCTTTGTTGATTACCCATTTCAGTCAGATTCCTCACTTGCAAAATATGGAAAATTATGGTGCTTACCTCTATGAATTTGTTACAGTGATTACTGCTTAAAACCAAGAGATTTTATAATGGTTCATATTTAGTTTGGGTAGAAGAGCTTAGGCATAATACACATAGATACAGAAGGTAAAAGTAAGCCCCATTATTAGGATATTCTGAATATCCAAAGTGTGATACTGGTTTAAGAT